CACATAAAACCTAAGCTGCAATAAAACCCACCCAATACTCGGTAGACCTTTGAATTCAACAGACTCAGTGGCTCAGTTGATAAAGCGATGGGCTTTAATCAAGAAGACCTGAGTTCAAATCCCATTCTTGCTTACATTAAATTGTTGTGATTATATCAAACAAAGTGGCCAAAACAACATTTCTAGTGGCCAAAAGAACATTTCTCCAACCCGGTATCTTGACAAGACATGAAATAATCACGTTGGTCCACTTTGGAAAACGTGTAGATGTCACGGTTTAACCCCCTCAAACGTGAAACTTACACTTAAACTTAAACTTACCATAACGACCTACTGGTTTTCATTAAACCGAGAAAAATGGAATTTTGTTTTATTGACGATCACTGCAAATGGTCTATTATTTAAAATGCAAAAAACATTTATTATTTTCAATGTGAAAAGGATTCATTTGCCTCGATCCACGCTGAAACAAAACGTCTAAATGTCACGTTTTTAATGAAGCAGCCTAAATGGTCCACTTTGGAAAACGTGTAGATGTCACGGTTTAACCCCCTCAAACGTGAAACTTAGACGTTTGCGTTAACACGCTCCAGTGGAGAGATACCCGGATGTTTCTACAAGCAATCACCTCTGCCATAACGACCTATTGGTTTTCATTAAACCGAGAAAAATGGAATTTTGTTTTATTTACGATCACTGAGAAATGTTCTATTATTTAGAATGCAAAAAAAAAAAAACATTTATTATTTTCAAGGTGAAAATGATTCATGTGCCTTGATCCACGCCGAAGAAAACGTCTTAATGTCATGATACCGGGTTGGAGAAATGTTGTTTTGGCCACTTTGTTCGATATAATCACAACAATTTAATGTAAGCAAGAATGGGATTTGAACTCAGGTCTTCTTGATTAAAGCCCATCGCTTTATCAACTGAGCCACTGAGTCTGTTGAGTTCAAAGGTGTACCGAGTATTGTATGGGTTTTATTGCGGCTTAGGTTTTATGTGTTGGAAAAATAAATATAGAAATATAATTTGACACAAGAGGGCAGTATAGCCAGTATCAGTTAAACCGTGACATCTACACGTTTTCTAAAGTGGACCAACGTGATTATTTCATGTCTTGTCCTGATACACATGGGTTGGGCACTGAAGTTACAGGAGTTTCTTCACGTTGCTTAGCAACGGAACTAGGTCGAGTATTTAAAAGGTTATGGTTAACGTACGTCGATGTAATAGGCTACGTTGTTTTAGCGTACCTTTTGCTTAAACGAGGAGCTGGGTGATGCCGGAAAAATAGACATTTTACTCATTATAGGCTGCTTTCATTAAAAATGTGACATTTAGACGTTTTCTTCGACGTGGATCAAGGCAAATGAATCCTTTTCACATTGAAAATAATAAATATTTTTTGCATTTCAAATAATAGACCATTTGCAGTGATCGTCAATAAAACAAAATTCCATTTTTCTCGGTTTAATGAAAACCAGTAGGTCGTTATGGTAAGTTTAAGTTTAAGTGTAAGTTTCACGTTTGAGGGGGTTAAACCGTGACACATCTACACGATTATTTTTTGTCGGCTGGAGAAATGTTGTTTTGGCCACTTTGTTTGATATAATCACAACAATTTAATGTAAGCAAGAATGGGATTTGAACTCAGGTCTTCTTGATTAAAGCCCATCGCTTTATCAACTGAGCCACTGAGTCTGTTGAATTCAAAGGTCTACCGAGTATTGGATGGGTTTTATTGCGGCTTAGGTTTTATGTGTTGGAAAAATAAATATAGAAATATAATTTGACACAAGAGGGCAGTATAGCCCTATTTATGGTTTTGAGTTTAAACTATCACTATCAGTTAAACCGTGACATCTACACGTTTTTCAAAGTGGACCAACGTGATTATTTCACGTCTTGTCCTGATACACATGGGTTGGGCACTGACTGAAGTTACAGGAGTTTCTTCACGTGCAAACTAGGTCGAGTATTTTAAAAGGTTATGGTTAACGTTGTTTACGTCGATGTAATAGGCAGCCTAGGCTACGTTGTTTTAGCGTACCTTTTGCTTAAACGAGGAGGGGACGCCTGAAAAATAGACATTTTACTCATTAGGCTGCTTTCATTAAAAATGTGACATTTAGACGTTTTCTTCGGCGTGGATCAAGGCAAATGAATTCTTTTCACCTTGAAAATAATAAATGTTTTTTTTTATTACATTTTTTGCAAAACATGCTTCGTTTCTTATGTTTTATCAAAATATTTTTTTCTTGTTATAACAAAGGAAAAAAATAGTAACTTATGACCAAAAAGAAGGGCAATTATAATAGATGGATTATAATAGGTTAATATAATATAATATTTCTGATGAGGCGGGGTTGTCATCTCTGGCCCTCAAGGTCCAATTTCCTGCAGAGTTTAACTCCAACCCTGATCAACTGAGAACCCCTGGTTTAGAATTTGCTTTTCTCCTTCCGAGCATCACAAATTCATACATCTATGTTTCGGTATTATAACCCCTGCTCAAACCATTAGAAAAGATGAAGTCTGTTATATTAACGTTGCCCACTAGAGGGCACCATAAGGAATCGTTTAAGTCTACCGTTATTAATTTGGTTTCAATCCATTTGAATGGAAATAAATCCATTAATCTAATTCACTATTGTGGAAAGTACATTTTTATATAGGCTAATTGATTTATGTATAGCCTAAATGTGTGAAATGCATGAATCGCTAATATTTGGTGGTGGGAAAATATTTACATCATATTTCAGCTGTAAGTCGGGAATCAGAGCAGAGATCAAATATACATTTTTAAAATATCAAATAATGTCAAATGTTAATATTGTATTGACATAATTTATGTAGGCTATTTTAATTGACTGCTGTTGCTAGCTGCTAAGGCAATTAGATGTGTTAACTGCATTCGTCTTATTTTTGTATTTTTAAAGTTTATTTCTATTTATTTATTTGTTTCGTTATGTTTTATTTATTTAACAGGCATCGATTTTAATAAATAACAATAAGTTGTAGGAAGTTGGCTATTGCAAATAACAATAAAGTCAAATCCATTACTTGGATAAAATGAATATTTCTATTTACATTTGTTCATGTTGAAATAATGAATAATATTTGACGATATTGTTTATTTTGAGTTTTTTTCAAGTCTTCGTAGTAAACTTTTGAGCTGGCCCAAAAATAAAATAATTTAAATGAGTAGCCTTGCCTATAACGAAATACATAGCCTAACTATTGATTTAAAGTTAAACATGATAATAAATATAGCATTTTTACAGTATATAAATTAATAGATCAAATATACAATTCATTAGGCTACGTTCACACTGCAGGCTGAAACGACCTAATTCCGATTTTTTTGCCCCTATGCGACCTGTATCTGATTTTTTCATGACAGTCTGAACGACACAGATCCGATCTTTTCAAATGCGACCCAGGCCACTTGGGTATGTGGTCCAAATCCGATATGTATCCGATCTTTTGAAATGCGACTTCAATCTGAACGGCCAGGTCATATCCGACCCACACGTCATTGCACGCGTTTCTGCCATAGGTTTCTGCACTCTATGGGCCACTGCAGACGTGTCTATTCCCCAGTGTTATGCCTGAACGCGTTCAATGAACGATAGTGCATGAACGCGTTCATATTTTGGGCGAACGTGACAGTTCACGTTCGCCCAAAATAAACATACTGTATTACTGCCCGATGAACATTACTGTGAACATGTTCATTCTGGTGTCTGTGAACGCGCCATCTGTCTAACTTCGTACAGTAGGGTGCCAGATTTCTATAGAGCCTTCCAGGCGAAAACCTGGCTAAAACACATGTAAACATGCCTTACAAACTGACATTGAATCAACGTGGAAATATGACATCGAAACAATGTTGATCTGACATTGTTTTGCTCATCGAATTAACGTTGTAGCCTACCAACGTCAGACGCGTCATTCTTTCAAAACTTACGGAAAATCAACTTGAAATCAACGCGTTGTTTCAACGTTATGAAAGCAAACCAATTTTCGATTTCATTTAGCTTTGAAGAATGCCGCGTCTGACGTTGGTTCAACGTTAATTCGATGAGCAAATCAACGTTGTTTCAATGTCATGAGAGACGTCCTTTCCACGTTGATTCACTGTCAGTTTGCTGTCTGGGTGAGGATCGGAAAAATCTTACATTTATGTGCAAACTTTGCCCGTCGATAAAATAATTATTGTTTGTGTTTGTATATGGGCTGTGGCAATATTAATAATAATAAAACAAAAGCTCGTAACATATGGAAAAAAGAACTATTCCGCAAACAACAAGTGACCGTTGATTACTCTTCTGCGCATGCGGGTCACTTCTGGGTCATTTCACGTTCACACAGGAGATCACAAAAGGTCGCATTTAATTGGAAATGTGAACGGTCTTGCAAAAAAATCGATTTTTTTTTCAAAAAATCGGAATTGAGCATTAAGCCCTGCAGTGTGAACGTAGCCTCTGCCAATGTGAATAAAAATGCCTGTAAGGAATCACTTACGCAGGTAAAACCAGAGTTAGGCTAGTAAATAATAAATGTTTTTTACATTCTAAATAATAGAACATTTCTCAGTGATCGTAAATAAAACAAAATTCCATTTTTCTCGGTTTAATGAAAACCAATAGATCGTGGTGGAGGCGATTGCGTGTAGAAACATCCGCGTATCTCTGGAGCGTGTTAACGCAGGACCCTTGTTTTAGTTTGCACGTACATAGTTCGAAAGACATTTAATCTCAGGAGTGTTTTTATAAAATGTGTTTTTTTTTTATTCAAAATGCATCAGAGGCATTTACAAAAATGTAAATTTATACAAAACAAATTAAAAATGTATATGAATCTTTAATCAACTGAAAAGTGGTGTGAGTCATAGTTTCTTGAATTACACATATTGATTAACCTCCTTAAGTTTAACTAATTTGCTCATTATCAGATAAAATAACGATGGAATCAGCACAGGCAGTCACTAAATGAATGATTCAAGCATGAATTTATTTATATAGGCCTACATATGTATTTATTCATATTATACGAAAGAACAAAATTATTATGCTAGAACAAAAGCACCAAAAAGATCCCGTTTTCCACCAGTTGCTGCAGGAATGGCTTCAACTCTGAGAGAGAGAGAGAGAGAGAGAGAGAGAGAGAGAGAGAGAGAGAGAGAGAGAGAGAGAAATACAAATGAGTTTAACATGTTCAACTGAAATATATATTTCTGATTCAACACTAAACAATTATGAAATGTTGGAGTTGTAGAGAGAGTCAAACTGAATATTCATGTTACTGATGTAATTCCAAACTCCAAATGTGTAAATGTAAAAGTAACAGCCAAGAATTGAATGGTCTCCTTTCCTTCTTTCTCAATTGTTTGTCAATTTGTCTGTTAAAATCTTCCACTTCACTGAAATAGTTATCGGAGAACAGTCACTGTTGTGTTACTGTAACAGAATTATCAGTAAAAAAAAAGGGTGCACTGGGCATTGTGCAAAAATAATGAATAATCTACTCTGACCTGCAATGATAATCCAGACCAGAAAGGAAGAACGGCTCAGCCTCCTGTGAGGAGATCTCCCAGCCAGGAGACAGCCAGGGCATTTATGAGTGCCTATGAAAAAAGTAAATACTGTATAAATGTACAATATATAACTCATATTCTTTTTCAAGCAGAATAAGATTTACAGGATGTAACATAAACACTAAAATAATATATTTTTATATTTATTTACCCTTAATCCATAACAACATGAAATTGGTGAAATAATAATACAGTTAGTAGTATACATAAAATTCTCCATTGAGAGTATTCTGATACGAAATACACCAAGAGACATCACAGGGGAGTTAAATGACCAAATATGCAAGTTGAAGATAATTCATAGCTCTAAAACAACATCATCAAACCTTATTGATTCGAATTACGTCGATATTTTGACAATTCTAATTACATATCGGATATCTGCAACTCAATTGTTGATATCTGTAATTCCAGTTTGAGATATCTACAATTTAATTCAAAACTTAAGTTCAAGATATCTTTAATTAACCTCAGTTCAAGATATCTACATGTTCCTTTTCAGATAGGCCTATATCCTAAATTCAGTTTTGCCTACTCTTTGCTCTGTCATGTTTTTCATGATAAAATGGATGTGTGGTGCGAGCAGCTCTTATCGTGTCTTTGAATATAGCCTAGATACAATAGCAAAATAAATATTTATATTTATATTCTTAAATATAGCCTACAACAGAAAACTTTGTTTGGATCTTGCTGCTGCAGTACCTACGCTAAGTAAAAGCCTATAATTTTATAAAACATCACTACATTTTCTACATGTGTTTAGCAGACAACATTCTTATTTTTAATAAACATGTGTACAACATAACTAGGGTACACTGTTTAAAACTATTTGAAGAGTTCAGATGCAAAAGCCTCTAAATGCCATTTGAAATTTTCTTCTTTAATGACGATTTTTGTCAAGCTTGTATATTTAAGTTCAGTGATTTCACTTAAATGGCAATGATAATTACCTATTAATTGTTATTTAAGTGAAATTACTGAACTTAAATATACAAGTTTGATAAAAATCATCATTAAAGAAGAAAATCTCAAATGGCACTTAGAGGCGTTTGCATCTGAACGCTTCATTTAGCTGTTTTAGAAGTTGGCCACTTAATAAAATAATTGAAATCAGTGTGAAATGTGTGAGTCTGCTAAGCTGCTACGAATTGAAGGCCTATAATTTTAGAAAACTTCACTACAAATGTTAATATTTTCTACAAAATGAATTTATCAGACAACATTCCCTATATGTATTTTTTTAATAAACATGTGTAACATAACAATGTTTCAAACTATTTAGCCGTTTTTAGGTAGGCTATTTGATTAGAACTTTAAATTAAGTTTAAATTAAGAACTTTTAAATTGAGAAACTGTAAAGTAATTAGATTCAGATGTAATTCTATAAGCATGAGAATACCATTGTAATATTGAGAGGAAACAGTACAGAAAATAATAACAGACATGTTTCCCTCAGCTATAACAGTGGCACCAGACCAGA